TGAAGGATTGACTTCATGAACACTTAGGTGAGATTACTAAAGAAAGAACTAGTACACAACCTATCTCAAGAAGTGTATGATAGTAAAGTTAATATCTTTTGGAATAAAGCAGAAAGGAGAATGTGAAAATAACAGAAACCAGATATATATATATATATATATATATATGTCAACATTAAAGATGTGAAACAATGTCTTCTATACAGAAATGGCTCATTCACAAACTTAGACTTTTGACTAATTGCATAAGAATTTTTCTTTAAATAGTAATTTATGAAAAGATATAATGTGGCCGTAATTAAAGTTTCCCTGTTCAAAATGCACTATAGCTGTAACAAATAAGCATATTGACACCATGATACAGAGATCGTGTTTCTTTATGCAGCACTACTCGATTGCTACATAGCAAAACGTTTCTAAATGAAGCGCTATAATGTAGTGAATTGTTTCTAAACATATGCTGCAAGGGGTCACTGCAGCAAAGATAAAGCAGCCTTTATGTCTGCTACACGTGTAAAGCAAAATGAACACTTGTCTGTATAATACGATATTATGCTGCAAAAATAAAAGAGTCGAAGTGACTGTTGATAAAAATATTGTGGAAAGATTAAGAAGGATTAAATTTTCTAAAATGAAATTGAAAGTTATCTAAAGAATAAGAAAATACTATATTTTAAATATAAGTATCTATCTCCTATCTCTTTACTTTGTTCACATTTTCAGAAAGAGAAGTGCTCAATTCTTTATATAACTTTATTTAAATATTGTAGTTTTTTAACTAAAGCACTACTTTTGGCTGTAACTGGAATTAAAGGATAGATTAACGGTATTCATGTTTAGTTCAAGCGGAAAGTATTTCTAAATTATAATGCAGTGATGTATAGCAATAGCAGCTTGTGACATCATTTTCACTACACTTAAACTTTAATTATGACCACCCAGTAATTTATGCTATTTTATAATAATTTTTAATTTATTGTTGGTAGTATTCAAGATATTTATGTTATTTTATTTTAAAATATTTGTAAATTATTGAATTAATTATTATGACAATAATTGTCATGTACAAGTAGTTTTAAGACTTGCTGAAGATGAGCATAAGATCAAAAGCACTGAAAGTTAATGCAGTGAATACTAAGTAGCCTTTATACTTGAAGTAGATAAAAAAAAAAAAAAAACAGGAAGAATTTATCAAAGAAGCAAACATTTTTAATGAAAAGATGGTCTCTGCTGAGATGGAAAAAAATCTCAGAACTACCATTGTCCTTATTCCATTCAAGAAGAAAAGGAAAAAGAAAATATTCCTATGTTGACATGTTTCATTTTAAATTGTGATTTAAACTAGAATCTACTGTTTTGTGTATTTTTAATGCTGTCTGGATAAGATTAGCTGAAAATCAAATTTTAACACCACTAGTCCAAAAGAGATCACTAATATCATTACTATATGATCCATTTTAAAAGATGGATCATGTACAGTATTTTAAGAAATTATAAGACTACTACATTTTTTAAGTTTTCTCAAAACTAACAATGTTTAATGTTCAATTGTTATTCTCAACAAAGTAAATACAATAAACAATCACGTTTTGAACAATTAGTTCAACAATCTTAACGCATTTTAGTTATTAGTTTTACAAAACTCAAATTTTCACTATTAATAAATTATAAGACTATCATGAGAAAATGGTTGTCCCTTCCTTTAGGAAAAACTTCTATCCCCACATGATTGTCAGTTTTCTATGATGTCACATGACTAATTTTAATACTTTTCTTAAGTTTATTTTTGAGTGGTTGTGGTTAAACTCCATGCCAGGAGGAAGCATCCAAACATCATTGGCTTTGTATGCAGTGGTGCTGTGATACAGAAACATGGACTGCTACGCATAAAGATGATATAAGTGCTATGCTACTTGCACTTATATTATCTTTAGTGACAAATTCTGGTTCTGTTTAGGAATTGATAACTACTGTGTTTATGTGTGAAAGACCACTGGTGAGCTGAAGCCAGTTGGAATTTCCAAATTTTCTGAATGTAACCAAAAATTTTCTAAGAACTTATATATTTCTGACATAGTACCAGAGATACAGAGGGAACTGTTGTATCATGAGCGTAGTGTACCTTGAAACATTTTTTTGATTAATATTTTTTGTAGTATCTAGGGTTGTGGTTAGAGCATTTTGCACCAGGGGCAAAGTTAAATATGGCACCTCATTAGTTTGTTACAAATTTAAAAATCATAAAAACACTTTTTATTAATATAATTTTTCATAATCATATGTAACAGATTTTAATGAATTTATTAGTTTGTCCATGTAAAAATTCTGGAATTTTGGCATCCCATCATTATGATGTCTTGGGCATGTGCCTCCTTTATCCATGCCTTTTCATGGTCCTAAATAGTCAAAACATCTGGTAACATTGTCCCAGGTGGTTGTGTAATCAAATTTTTTAAGCAGGTAGCTAGCTAGTACTTTGTAGATATCATTGTTGTCAAAAGATTTTTGTTGTCTATTAGTAAAATTCTGATGTTGATATTTCAGTTTCTTGAGAACAACATATTTTGTCAGAGAGAAAAATCAGTTGTATTAGTTCACAAATTAGATGAGATAAGATGTAATGGTATTCTGAAAAAGTAAATTACTTAGAGACAACAAAATTTACTTTTTCTGCAAGTTCACTTGTTTGTACCTTGAAACATTGTTCATATTCAGGATCTTAAAATATTATATCCCATTAATTTTCAGACGAAAATGTCAAGCAGTAAATCTGGTAACTTACTAAGAGGCTAACAGTAAATACAGAGTAAGACCACTGAAGCCATCATATGCTCTCCAGTATATATGACTCTCCTGTCTTTACGATGCTATTGCAAATAATATCCAGACAAATGGAATCATGTTGAAATTAATTTATGCATTATGCTGTACTATTTTTATTATAACAAACTACCATGAAGCTTTTTAATTTGATGATGACCTATTTTAACCTTAATTTATAGGTATTTACCCGTAAATTAAGATTAAAAGATTATCTATTTTAATAAATCATCCAACACCTGATGCTGAGAAAAACGTTTATTTAAAGAAACATTAACGTTTTCGACCTAATATGATAGGCCATCTTCAGATACAAGTATTCTCGAACGTATTTAACTTAACATTTAAATGTCAGAACGTTTAAATACTTTTATGTTAAAATCAAAATACTGGATAAAATAACAAATAAATAATAAAATAAAACAAATATATTAAACAAACTAATACAATAACAATGTAAATAATGTACTAAAATAAAAAATAACATATGTAAAATAAAATAAAATAAACACAAAAAGTGCCACTAAGTGTAAGGGCAGATGCGGGCTAAGAATTTTTGCATTTTAGTTTTTCTTTTATGTAGAACTTCCATGCAGAAGCTAGTCCCTCTGCATCCCTGGCATTAATACAACCATCTTTTAATTTACTTTTATATATTTTGATTTTTTTTTCGTGCATTGCCAATGATGGAGAACGCATAGTCCTGATGATAGTCGCTTTCATCCATTCCATTTAATCACAGAGTCCTCTGCTTGTACCATACAGGATAATAATCTATTTTAAATTAAATAATAAAATTTAAATTATAAAATTATATATTTAATTAAAAAAATTAAATATAACCTGTAAGTTATGGTTGAAAAAGTTAACATAATGTAAAATTGGTTTACTGGAGTATAGGTTTTGCGTAATGGTTTCATAATTATGGATTTAGTAGATATTTTACGTTTCCTTAACATCAATTTGTTTAAAATTTCATTGTATTATTATATCTTATCTTCAAACATAATATAGCATATCTGAACCATTTTTCATGATGTATAACAGTTGTGGTAAAGCAAATTTCTATATTTATAATATATAAAAAACATTTCTCAAAAAATATACAGTGATTCTTAAAAGTTTTATTAAAAATACAATGTGATTGTGATTTACATAGAAATTTCATTCTTATAGTATATATAGTAAGTAAAGATTCAAAAAATTAAGACTATTTCTTGAGAAAACAGTTTTATAAATAGTTATTTGAATGTAACACTCATAATGTTTGTTTTATGCAAGTAAATTAAATTTAGGAATTTTTTAATATAAACTATTATATAAATAAGATGAAATGAAATATTTGTCATAAAGTTTTACATGAGGTTTATGATAAGGAATTATTTTTTAAAAAAAATTCAACTGAAAGTTACCTACACAGTACACAATATAGTAAAAAGTTAGATTTTTTTGTAAATATTACCCTTACTGCTATATTTTGATTTCTTGAGTTAAAAAAAAAATGCTTTCAAAATTGATTGTTAACATCCTGTATGAACATAGTGCACATTATTTTTAATTTTTATATATTTAAACAAAATCTATGTATTGTTCAGACATATAAAATTTCATTATTTAATGATAGTATTGTAATGTTTCTACTACTACTAATGAAAATAAGACATTTTCATCACCATGCATGATAGAATGAGTGAGACAAAGGGTATAACACAACTAAGTTTATTGTCTTCATTGCAAAAACTATACGTATGTCTGGTTGTTGTGGCTAACAACTAACAACTGGCTACTCACTGGGTGTGTTCGGACTCATTCTATGAAGTGATGACTCATACCACCCGGGAGTTGTTTCTTGTTACAATGGTTAAGATGAGGGAGGTAGTGTTTGCACAGTGTCGTGATCACATATTTACAGTATGAAAAAATACAGAAATTTATAATTACTTTTTATGATTAGACTAAAAAAAAATTTTTTATGTAATAATTTTTGCAATTAATTCCTGTATTTCTTAGTTACTTTTATGAAATATAAATTTTGAATGGATTTTATAGAAAATTTGATGGAATAAGTAAAATCGATTTTTTTGGATTCATACCTGTATGACATAGCATGGTTTAATTCAGATTCAGTTCACGATATAAATATCAACTAAAATAAGTTGTAATAAATTTTTTATTTTTAGGTCTGTATTAGAAAGTCATCATGCTGCATTTGCCTTTAAACTCACAAATTCTGGCGAGCGTGTGAATATTTTCCAGCATCTTGATCGTGACAACTATAGAGCAGTTCGTCAATCAATTATTGATATGGTATTAGCTACAGAAATGACAAAACATTTTGAACATATTTCAAAATTTGTAAATGTATTTACAAAATCTGTCACTCAAGATGAAGAACCCTTTGAGCAAGAGGTAAGATATTAGAATTTGTTTTTTTTTGTAAGAATAACATAGAATTTGGTTCTTCTAGATGTGATATTTCTGATAAGTATGTGTATGATGAAAACTAGATAAGAAAATCACAATGTTAATTCTATAAAAGATAATAATGTTATATTTGAATAAATACTTGTAATATTAAATTAAAACTGTGCTGATATTTAGCATTGATTGATAGTTATTGATGTATTTCTTCAAGTTCATAAATTATTGTATAAATTGCATATTTTAATAAAAAAAATATACAGATGACCAAGCTTAAACTATTATAACAATTAAATGATATTACTAGATTAATTCATCCCAGTGACATGGGCGAAAAGAGCAATTGCCTGAAGTCCCAAACATTTATAAGCTCATTACTGTAACAGGAATATTGAAATTTAAATTTGGGCCAAATCTGTGGGCCCTATATTGCTGGTGTGACACAAGTGCAGGGTGCATGGGCATAGTGCAGAGGTTGTGTTAAGAAATGAATGAAGATACTGGGGATTCCCCCAAAAATTCCCCAAAGAAAAATGTTTGAAGTCAACACTCTATATGGGGCCCCCTAATTCAAATTTACCTGGGGCCCCATGAAGCTACAATGCATCACTGCCAAGTCCAAAAATGTAAAAATCTTGAGGGACACTATACTTTCTAGCAATTGTTTTATAAAAACTGAATGTTTTTGGCTTACGTAAGAAGCCTTATTCAGCTGCTGAAATTGAATTTATGAGATTCTAAAATGGAATGCATCAAGTGTTATGATGTATTACTGGAAAAGTATTGTGGTGTATTCATCTCACTTCCAGTTTGGGCATTTGTTTATTCCCCTCTGTTATATATAACAGCTGGGAAAGTAAAAATAAAATATTGAGAATTAACTATATCAGTTTTTTGACTGATTAGATTTTTTTTATATTCATTTAACAATTATAGTAATAATTTAATTTTGATTATATTAATTTCAATAAGGTAACATTCTTGTTTTTAATTAATCAATTGAATATAATTCTAAAGTTACAACTATTTCAACTAATTTTTTAAAATGTAATTCATAAGATTTGGATGAAATGATGTAATTGGAAAAACTTTTGTTTTTATAGAAGTTAGGATCAGAATCATCAGATTTGGCAGCCATGTCAACTCCGGAAAATATTATTATTGTAAAAAGAATGCTTATAAAATGTGCTGATGTATCAAATCCAGCTCGACCTTTACATTTGTGTAAAGAGTGGGCAAATCGGATTGCTGAAGAATATTGCTCACAAGTAATTTGCTTTAATATTTTCTTTTTACTTCCTAATGAATTTTAATGTCATTTTATTTTAGAATGAATTAATCTTTTATTACTTTATTCTATTACTATTGATGTCAATATTGTTTAATAGTATTGACATCAATCTAATATGATCAATCATAATCAGATTTTACTAATTTTAAATTTATGAATTTTATATCTAAGAAACAAACTAATGTATCAAAACATTGGTTTGTTTCTTCAATATTTGACTTTGTTGAATATATAGTGAATACAAAGATGTTTTCTGTAACAGGCAATTTAAAAAAAATTCTGTAATATTTGAATTCTGTTAAATTCAAACTGATAGATCATGTTCTATTTTTCTTCTATATAAAATGCTTTTCAAAATTTTTGTAATGTTCTATTTAAGATTTTGGAATGTTTCATTTGCTCATTAAGTTTAAATGCATGGAATGTAGGTTCTAATTTGTAATTTCATTCTATGTCATTAAGTATGTAGTTATCTGAGGAAGGGCGTTAAGTATTTCCAAAAATTATAGCATATAAAAATAACAAGGTGTGAAATTGTTTGCTTTAATGTGCAATATGTTTATCAGTGCCATCTTGATCAGTTTTTGAATTTTTACTCTGAATTTCTTATCACAAGACAAAAAACAAACAAACATTTGTTTTCAGAAGTATCATAGCAAACATAACAAAGGAATTTCTATTGCCTGGTTTATCAATTTGAAAAGTTGGTCTTCCTATTTATAATTGATTATATTTTTAGATGACTTATGGTAATATTTGATGATCTGCATATAACTTTCAATGAGCAATGTTTAGTAAACAGTATCATACAGCTTTTATATTGGCATAAATAGTTATTGAAATCTATGTAAAATACTGCAATTAGATTTAAAGAAATATACAGTTACATTCATATCTAAGTGGCTGCTAATTAAAAAAATTTCTTTAAAACATATCTTACTTTAAATAATAGATTAGTTTCAAATTTAAATATCGGTTTTTAGGATATGATTTAAAAATTATAATTTTAATAAAATAACAAGAATTTTGTTTGTTTTAAACTAATTACTAATTACAGACTGACGAAGAAAAAACTCTTGGTTTGCCAGTGGTGATGCCAACCTTTGATCGTAATACTTGCAGCATCCCTAAATCTCAAATAGGTTTCATGGATTATTTTGCAAATGATATGTTTGATGCTTGGGATGGTAAGTCATTCGTTTATACAGTATATATTGTTGATGATTTAACAAATACACTTTTACTTGTAACTTTTCTTTTTATCAATATACAGAATGGTTATAGTTAAGAATAGGTGTTTAGAGCTCTCTCTAGAAAGTAGTATTAGATAAATCTCATTCAAATTATGATCATCCTGTACATTTTTGAAGAAATTAAATAATTAAATTTAAAATCAGAATCATAATAATCTTTTTATGTTGTCCTCTTATCAAAACTATATACTCACTAGACAGCAGCACTTGCAGACTATGAAAATGGGGGCACAAGCTATAAAACCTCACATATATCTGTTGGTATGGCATTATTAAACAATGTAATATATGAGGAAGCCAGAGTGCACTTTTGTTCATTAAAACAAGTCACTATAGTCATTCAAACATGCATTCCACTACTTGGGGAGAGAATGGATACTGTCCATAAAGAATGACGTTGGTTGGTCCTTGAATCATTGGGTGAGCTGCTTAAGGGACTTTCACATCAGAGTTAGTGTTGTCTCCTAAAGGGTTTTTTAAAAGGTCTGAACAAATGAAAGTCACATGGTGACAGATTGTGGCTATAGGAAGGGTGGTGAGAACTTTTTTGTGCTAAAATATCCTGTAGTGTTTGCAACATGTGGTCAAGCATTGTCATGCAATAAAATAATCACACCATGTGATAGCATGGATTGTCTTTTATTCTTTATGGCTTTAGACAGCTTATCCAATGTTGCATTGTGGTGGTTGGCATTGATGCTCCTTTGAGGGTCTTTAAAGTCCACCAGCAAAACCCTGTAATGCTGAAAAATGTGGTCATCATAACCTTACAGGCAGAGGTCTGCAACTTGTAGTTTTTGTGTGTTGGTCATGGTGTTTCCATTGCTTGCTTGCTCAATTACTGGTTGGCTCAAAGTGGTGACACCACATTTTGACCTTGGTTATATTCCAAATACCAACTATGTTTTCACTATTCTATGCCAAAAACAAACCATCCGAGACAACTAAACTTGTCCCTGTTTGTTAATTGGTGCATGCTTATCATACCACATGTGGTGCCATTTCTCTCCGCTTGTGTAAGACCACATAACATAGCATGAACGTGTTTCATTTGATCATTCCTCATAAATTCCATCACATTCTTTTGATATTATCTATCAATAATTTGATATAACTTTTCATATCAATTATTTTTGTTTTTCAATGTTTATTTAATCTACTACTTTCTCTTTCCTCTGAAAGGACTGATCAATATTTTACCTAACTTCTTTGTCATTTTTAATAAGAGCATTCTTCATCTGTTCAAATTGATATTGTTGGATCCCAATTGTTTCAACAGTTTATAGTTTATGAATTTTATAAAAATTCTTTAAAAATTATGTTCTCCATAAATTTAAAATATAAGAATGAAAACAGAATGCATAGCCCAGATGGAAAATAAAATGTACAGTCAAAGACAACATTGTAAGTGCAATCTAAATGCATTTAGTAAAACTTGGCTGATAAATATTTGCTGTAAAATATTGATTGTGAAGGAAAATCTAATGTTTTTGAGTTGAAACATAGCTGTTAACTCATAATAGCTGTATCAACTCATTTTGTCTTTAAAAAGTCAAATTATATTTTAAAAGATTTTTTCTTTATTTATTTGACAAATAATAATAATTATTTTATCTATGTTAAATTTTAAATTTATCATAATTAACATTTTCATATAATTTTCAGCATTTGGCGATTTTCCTGAATTGATAGAGCATCTTAAGTTTAATTATCAGTATTGGAAGGAACAAGAACAACTCAGGGATAATAAAATCCCAATGCAAAATTAAAATCATTTTGATCTTGTGACAAATTCTTTCCAGTGTTGTGTATTGATCTTGCCACATTGTAGAAATTAAAATGTGTAAATTTGTGTTGTGAAAGAATATTTCTTTTAATATTGTGACAAGTTATCATCAACCTGTTGTAACAATGGGTGAAACAGTTTTACCAATTAAGAGACTTAGTGTATGTGGTGACTTAGTACATGGTGTTTCACTTGTCTTTCCTCCAAGTAAACACATCAAGAATGCAAATTTCTAAATATGCACAATGAGAATAATATAAATTTGATGTTGAAAAATCAAGAATTGTGATACAGTATGTAGAATTTAAAACTGTTAAATGATTACTAAATGAAAATTGCAGATATTTAAAATCATCAATTATAAAATATATCAAATTTAAATTTTTATCTGTTTTTATAAGAGAAATTTGGAATATATTTTCAAGACAGTCCTAGANCTCAAGAAGTGTATGATAGTAAAGTTAATATCTTTTGGAATAAAGCAGAAAGGAGAATGTGAAAATAACAGAAACCAGATATATATATATATATATATATATATGTCAACATTAAAGATGTGAAACAATGTCTTCTATACAGAAATGGCTCATTCACAAACTTAGACTTTTGACTAATTGCATAAGAATTTTTCTTTAAATAGTAATTTATGAAAAGATATAATGTGGCCGTAATTAAAGTTTCCCTGTTCAAAATGCACTATAGCTGTAACAAATAAGCATATTGACACCATGATACAGAGATCGTGTTTCTTTATGCAGCACTACTCGATTGCTACATAGCAAAACGTTTCTAAATGAAGCGCTATAATGTAGTGAATTGTTTCTAAACATATGCTGCAAGGGGTCACTGCAGCAAAGATAAAGCAGCCTTTATGTCTGCTACACGTGTAAAGCAAAATGAACACTTGTCTGTATAATACGATATTATGCTGCAAAAATAAAAGAGTCGAAGTGACTGTTGATAAAAATATTGTGGAAAGATTAAGAAGGATTAAATTTTCTAAAATGAAATTGAAAGTTATCTAAAGAATAAGAAAATACTATATTTTAAATATAAGTATCTATCTCCTATCTCTTTACTTTGTTCACATTTTCAGAAAGAGAAGTGCTCAATTCTTTATATAACTTTATTTAAATATTGTAGTTTTTTAACTAAAGCACTACTTTTGGCTGTAACTGGAATTAAAGGATAGATTAACGGTATTCATGTTTAGTTCAAGCGGAAAGTATTTCTAAATTATAATGCAGTGATGTATAGCAATAGCAGCTTGTGACATCATTTTCACTACACTTAAACTTTAATTATGACCACCCAGTAATTTATGCTATTTTATAATAATTTTTAATTTATTGTTGGTAGTATTCAAGATATTTATGTTATTTTATTTTAAAATATTTGTAAATTATTGAATTAATTATTATGACAATAATTGTCATGTACAAGTAGTTTTAAGACTTGCTGAAGATGAGCATAAGATCAAAAGCACTGAAAGTTAATGCAGTGAATACTAAGTAGCCTTTATACTTGAAGTAGATAAAAAAAAAAAAAAAACAGGAAGAATTTATCAAAGAAGCAAACATTTTTAATGAAAAGATGGTCTCTGCTGAGATGGAAAAAAATCTCAGAACTACCATTGTCCTTATTCCATTCAAGAAGAAAAGGAAAAAGAAAATATTCCTATGTTGACATGTTTCATTTTAAATTGTGATTTAAACTAGAATCTACTGTTTTGTGTATTTTTAATGCTGTCTGGATAAGATTAGCTGAAAATCAAATTTTAACACCACTAGTCCAAAAGAGATCACTAATATCATTACTATATGATCCATTTTAAAAGATGGATCATGTACAGTATGTTAAGAAATTATAAGACTACTACATTTTTTAAGTTTTCTCAAAACTAACAATGTTTAATGTTCAATTGTTATTCTCAACAAAGTAAATACAATAAACAATCACGTTTTGAACAATTAGTTCAACAATCTTAACGCATTTTAGTTATTAGTTTTACAAAACTCAAATTTTCACTATTAATAAATTATAAGACTATCATGAGAAAATGGTTGTCCCTTCCTTTAGGAAAAACTTCTATCCCCACATGATTGTCAGTTTTCTATGATGTCACATGACTAATTTTAATACTTTTCTTAAGTTTATTTTTGAGTGGTTGTGGTTAAACTCCATGCCAGGAGGAAGCATCCAAACATCATTGGCTTTGTATGCAGTGGTGCTGTGATACAGAAACATGGACTGCTACGCATAAAGATGATATAAGTGCTATGCTACTTGCACTTATATTATCTTTAGTGACAAATTCTGGTTCTGTTTAGGAATTGATAACTACTGTGTTTATGTGTGAAAGACCACTGGTGAGCTGAAGCCAGTTGGAATTTCCAAATTTTCTGAATGTAACCAAAAATTTTCTAAGAACTTATATATTTCTGACATAGTACCAGAGATACAGAGGGAACTGTTGTATCATGAGCGTAGTGTACCTTGAAACATTTTTTTGATTAATATTTTTTGTAGTATCTAGGGTTGTGGTTAGAGCATTTTGCACCAGGGGCAAAGTTAAATATGGCACCTCATTAGTTTGTTACAAATTTAAAAATCATAAAAACACTTTTTATTAATATAATTTTTCATACTCGTACGTGACAGTTTATTCGTTAATCCACTTAACAATTTTCGATTTTGACGTTCCATCGTCTCAGTGTCCTCTGCCCGTAGTAGGCTACATTGAATCATTGTTCTGTGTCTTACGTATAGATCTATCCAAAATGGCAGAATTTTGGTTGGCCGCGTAGCAAAAACGTTGGGAGAAACGACTGCGATAATCTTACATCCATTATTTGGCTGTGTATAAACGTAATAGTATATTATACGTAAATAGAGTCTGTTTGCAGATGGCAGTCATCCAGTGGCCATCGTTGCCAGTTCTACGGAAATCTGCTTAACGCAAATCCTGTTTGCCAAGTGGACCAAGTCGACCAAATCCTTTTGTCCGGTGGAACGTTACAGACCGGTGGCCAAGCAGAAAATCATAAATATCGTTTCTCTGGTAAGCGAGTTTGCAACTGGGCGAAACCCGTAGAGTCCGAGTCTTTTATTTTTCTTTCTTTCTTCTCAGCATCTGTGTTTGGATACGTGCAAGGTAGGTCTTCATTTCCTGGACGAAGACGCCAACGACGAGTTCTGTTGGTCGCTCAGGACCAAAACCCGTACCACCCTTTATTCCCTCTTCAACACCGTCAAGGAATTGTGGGAGAAACAATTCGGAATCGAACTGATATGCACCGAGGATTGTAAATACAATTCGGAAACGACGAAGGAAGAAGCGGCGACGAAATTTGTATTATAAAACTTTGTATTAAATACACGAAAGTAATTTAATAACCACCGTAACAGGGATTGTAACCCGGAATGAATAAAGTTTCCTCCTTTTGTACTTAGAAACGTCTTTATCTTCTGCCCGCCACTGGACAAAGTATTGTAATTTTCATCTTTTGCAAGTTTTGACCCGCGTGTCTACTTTATTTTATAAATACTGGGAAGTGAGAGGGGCTGTACAATGCCTTAAATTTACCACCGTCTACGATCTTAATAGACATAAGAACCAGATACATTGGAGACAGAGGGACTCCTATTACTAAGTGTTCGTGTTTTTCAAAACACACGTAGTCGACTGTATAGTAAAATACTAACAACACGCTTTAATTACTGTCACTATATTTTATAACTAGCAGATGAGCCCGGTATTGCTCAGGCAAAAACTAACAGCAAAGATTAAGATTATTAGATTCTTTCGTACTTCCAACCATTAATATTATATTATAGTACAGTGGAACCTCGGTATACGACCTTAATCCGTTCCTGATTGTTGGACTTATACCGAATAGGACGTATACCGAATCAACCTTTCCCATAAGAAGTAATGTAAAAATGATTAATTCGTTCTCATGTAAAAAAAATGGCTGGCTTGAAACACCTCGCTTTCCTCGCTAGTTCCTGCTTGATTTTTCATGAGATCAGCATGTATTTTTGTAGCTTTCTCGCAAATAATTGCTTCCGATACGGTGTCTCTAGCACACTGTTTTTCAGTTATCCAAAGCAAAAGCAATTTCTCAACATGATTTAATGTCTTCGATCTCTGTTTAGAAATTGATTTAACCCCTTTCGCAACGTTAGCAGATTTAATAATGTCTTTATTTTTCACGATTGTCAATATCGTC